GCACGAGAGCACCTATCTGAGCATGAATCTCGGCACCATTCATCATCCGCGGTGCAGGGTTTGTCACTTTGACGCCTTTCGTAAAGTTCTTGATGTCTTGTCTGAATGGATGGTCAAGAGGTAGGAATTGACGATGTCTATCAAACGACGAATACTTGCCACCCTTCTGCAACCAAATAAACCTCACACCTTCCTTGCATATTGGACATGGGAACTTCCCATGAACACACCAGGCGCATAATATCCCATACGTCAGAAAGTCATGCAGGGAGTAGTGGTACCAAACGTGCATTTTGAAGGTTGTCTTTGTAGCTCGATCGTATGTCCATACCCCTTCGTCCCAAGCATGGACCAATTCATCAAACACGGGCTCCATGAACACACCCATATTACTCCCTGGGTGTCCAGGAATTATCAACGACAAGAATACGTTATGTCGTTGAAAGGAGACACCGGGGGGGAGATTAAGGGGGATAACAAAGACGGGCCAACATGTGTATGGGGCAGCCATCATTCCATAAGGATTGAACCCATCTGTTGCCAACGCGACACGTACATTACGAGCCTCATCTGCTTTGTCACGATGTTTGTCATTAAAGCGGATCCAAGCTTCACCATCGGATGGATGTACCATCTTGTCAGGATTGTACCGTTTGCCATTTTTGTGCCATGTCATCTGTTTCGTGGATTCCTCGGTCATGTATAGCCATTGGATCCTCGGTAGGAACGGAAAGTACCATAGGATTTTCATGGGGATCGTAAGTTGCCTCTTCTGGCCATCATCAGAGTCTACCTCCATGTACCTGGAGGATTTACACTTTGGACAGAACTTTGTATGCTCATGTTCTTTCCTAAATAGGAGGCACCCTTTCGGACAAGCATGTATCTGCTCATACGGCATCTTAAGTGCTCGAAGGAGTTTCTGTGACTCGTACATGCTCTTCGGCAGAATGTGGCCCTCCGGAAGCAAGGTGCCAATCACGGCCAACATCTTATCGAAGCCAGGTCAACTTAAGTTTAACTCGGACTTCAACCCCATTAAGCGTCCAATGGCATCCAGTTGAGACACCGTTGACCGATCGTGAAGGGGTTTCTATGCCGAGTCCATCATATCGTAGAACGCCTGTGCGGCTGCTTCCATCTCCTCCTTCTCACGCCCCTCATCGAACTGTCCTTGGTGAAAGTCATCTAACATGTCTGCTACCCCGGCATCAGCATCAAAAGCCTCCACCCATGGTCTCACCACCTCCTCTCTCATACGATGGGCTTCACCATGGTGGACCCACCGGGTGTAGTCCGGCGTAAATCCATTCTTCACAAGATGTTTACCCATTTCCACCTTGTTTACCCTTCTCCTGTTTCCATATTTGCTACAGGGACACAAAACTAGGCAATGTCCTTTAGCAGCATTGCCAAATGCACTGTTCAAGAAAGCATCGGTCTTGTTCATCCATTCCGTGGTGTAATCACTCTGACTTCTCCAGCCCGTGTACATCCACTGACGATCATCCATCCTCTAACATATGTATCGACGAGTAATGTAACCATCAATTGCATCTACATGGTGTTCCTACTGTCTAATAGGTGAGGATAGGTCCTAATCCCACCCGCAGATGCGTAGATGAGGTTAGTTTCCATGCTCTACTCCTATCCGAGACAGAATTTCGGCAGCACCTCCCTGCTGTTCTCCAGATACACGTCCTGTCAAAGAAGAGTGTGTATCCGGAGAACAACAGGGAGGTGATGCCGAAACTCTGTCTCAGACTAGAGCAGAACATGGAAACTAACCCATCTACGCATCCACGGGCTGTCCAAAAAGCGTGGACAATCCGAAATAGATACGGTCATAGATATGCAAAGATCTGCATACCTCCAACCGTATCTCTTTCGAACGGGAGACGCCTAACTGGGTTACGCGATCTACGATAATGATATGAAAAGAGGGGTTATACCTAGGGTGGCGACGGAGTCAGGCTAGCGAGGCCGTGGCGGGTCGGTGCAGTGGCGAGATGACACGGTGCAGGCAGACCGACACGGTGGCGAGAAGTCCAACTCAACTCTGATGGGCTCTTCTCTATAAAAATGGAACAAAATACTGTCATTTACAAAAAAATTCGATAGAACCTCCCCTGCATGGTGAGGTTTCCAAAACCTGCAAAAAACAACGGCACGATGGCCGACAAGCACGTATGGCTCAACAGAAGCCATGTAGTTTGGATATCAATCCATGCAGAAGAATATATCCAAGTAGTACCACTACTTGTACTACTACTTTCACTATTGCTACTACTACTACTACCATTGGTTCTTCTACTACTACCACTATTGCTACAACTACTACCATTAGTTGTACTACTACTACCACTACTTCTACTACTACCACTAATTCTACTACTAATACTACCACTAGTTGTACTAATACTACCACTAGTACAACGAATACTACTACAACTACCACTACCTCGACAATAATAAGTGAGAAGGCATACCTGACGGGCGACGGGGTAGGGGCGAGCGGTGTCGGGATCGGGCGAAGTCGGGGACGGGGTCGAGCACGGATGGCGTCAGGCGTGGTGGTCCACGGGCGCGGAGGCAGGGCAAGGCAGAAAAAAAAAGCGCGGCGGGCGTGGCAGGGCAGCCCGGGTCAATGGCAGCTTGGCAGAGGGCCAATTGAGGGCCTGGCGTGGTTTGGCACGGCAGCAAAGGTGTGGTGGGAAGGGCGGCGGTTGGGGCACTGCAGCAGTCACCAGGCCAATGAAAGGCAAGTGGTGGGCGCGCGGGGAAGGGTCTGGCCGGGCGGGGCAGCCGAGGTTTGTAAGCATGTGATATCGAGATCGCTGTCTGGCATAATGTCTCCGGTTTGTAAGCATCGTACGTGACAACTTGCACGAAATCTTCTGAAATTTTTATCATAGCCTCCACATATGATATCACGACATCTCAACAAGTTTCATGATTTTCGGACTTCATTTGCATTTTATAGAATTTATAAACACTTCACACGCAATTTCGCGGACATGTTTCGTGAACAAGATGTCCGAAATTTCGGGTCCTATCTTGGATACGGCCTCTCACAACACTCACTAACATGACTATCAATTTTCGAATCATTAAACTCCATTATTCGTACCACGTGCAGTTCAAATTTCTAATTTCCGGAAAAATTCAAGTAAACGAAATAAAGTAACTAAATATAACAAAAAGCCACAAAAAATCCCCAAATTGTAACTAGGAGTTCCTGGTGCTTTAAAAAGGCTGCACAAAAAAATTGGAGGCCAAAAAACAAAAAAACAAAAAAACTTTGCCGAGCGCCGGGGCATGGCACTCGGCAAAGGGTGTCTTTGCCGAGTGCCAGCCATCAGGCACTCGACAAAGAATGTTTTATTTTTTTTTTAAAATTTCCTCTTTGCCGAGTGCATCCACAGGAGCACTCGGCAAAGAAATAATAATAAAAAAATTAAATCTTTGCCGAGTGCCGTCCAGGGGGCACTCGGCAAAGTATTTTAAAAATAAAAAAAATTTCTTTGCCGAGCGCCAGATCTGAGACGCTCGGCAAAGAATTTTTTTTTTTAAAAAATTACATCTTTGCCGAGTGCCAGATCTGGGACACTCGGCAAAGAAATTAAAAACAAAAAAAAACAAATCTTTGCCGAGTGCCTAACCGCAGGCGCTCGGCAAAGAAGGCTGTGACAGGACGCCGTTTCACGGTCAGCCTATGCCGAGTGTAGAGATTTTGCCGAGGGTCTGGCACTCGGCAAAGAAGTCCTTTGCCGAGTGCCCGTGTTTGCCGAGTTTCCGGCACTTGGCAAAGAAATCTTTGCCGAGTGCAGCACTCGGCAAAGAAGGTCTTTGCCGAGTGCCCGATTTTTGACACTCGGCAAAGAATTTTGCACTCGGCAAAGTCTCTGTTTCCAGTAGTGGAGGGAGGGCATATCGGAGTAGTGCATAACGGTGGACAAGAGGAAGAAGCTAACTGTAGTGGAATATGTTGCATACTATTTCTATTCTAAAAGAAATCAATTTCTAGTATTGTTCTAAGTCAAACTATTTTGAAATTGATAGTATGTATTAAAAAGAGCACTAATATTTATAACAGAAATTAGTATTATTACTATAAATACGTACCATGAAATATATTTTCATAATATCCTTGTTTGGTATCATAGAGATGATATTATTCCTTTTATACATAAAGTTAGTCAAACTTAAGATCGTTTTTTTTTTCTGATTACGCAGTACAACTCAAAAACTCACAACGCACACACACTCACCCTTATGAACACACACATTCAAACCCTACATTTATGAGCATCTTTGAAGATTGGGCTGGCAAATTCTCGAGATTGACAAAGACACCACATGCGCCTTGCTGTCAATGGGAACGTCGCCTACCACTGAAAGCACAACGCCGCTAAATCCTAAAATATTCGCTCCCATGGGGAGTGGAACCCAGGATCTAAGGTGCTACTGAGGCTTTAATTTTATAACCACTAGGCTACAACCCTTTTGCAAACTTAAGACTGTTTGATTAAGTACAGCTGTAGAAGTTTTGTTCCAGGATAGAGGATGAAATGGTGAAGCCCTATGCACAGAATCACTTTTAAAAAAAAAGTTATCACTGACATAAATGGGCTTGTGGCAGCAGTTCTTGCTAATTATGTTCTAGGCTGGATTGACCCTGATGGAGTTATCGTCGTAAGTGATATAAACTACTCTAGCTAGTTCATCGGTATATACTATTTTGACAATCATGTGAACATGCACGGTGTAGGCGTCTCAACTTAATGACTCCAAAGAGAACGTAATATTTTTTTTAGATATAGTGGCCACATGCGATGGACAAGTTATTTTTTCCTTTCACAAACAGACATGGTTACAACATCTTCATATAAGGACATTACAAGACTGCTACTGTTGCTAGAACAGTTGGACCCTTTATTAATTTAATACTAACAAAAGGATGACCATGGGCTCCAACTTTAGATTGGCTTATATGGAATTTATGGGTAGGCATTGCCATATCCAGTTCCGGCACCAGAACCACTGCCACCACCACCATTCTCACTATTTCCTGTGCCACTACCAATGCCGTTAGCACTTGCACCCGCATCACTTGAACCATCCCAATACCTGTTAGCATAACTAGAGCCAGAACCGGTGCCGCTACCGGATCCTTGAGCATTGGAATTCCAAGCACCTCCAGCTTGTCCTCCACCCCCACCACCACCGGCACCACCAGCATTAGAAGATTCTCCTCCATAAGGACCAAATTCAGGATACCCTCCTTGACTAGATGTACTAGATCCTGAACCTGACCCTGACCCTGAACCATATCCGGACCCACCGTATTGGCTAGTTCCACCACCTGCACCACCCCCTCCAGCACTTGCATGGGCACCATAAGGACCACTATCACCCGATCCGGTGCCAGACCCAGACCCTAATCCCCCGCCATTCGCATATCCGCCGCCCCTCCCTCTCCAGTGCCGGTCCCATCAGCACTAGAGTATCTAGCCAGCCTTACAGCATTGGCTAATCCCATGCTCATGAGGAGAATGAGCCCTAGTGATATTAGCTTTGTGCCAGCCATTGTGAGCCACCACTATAGAGTGTTTGAGTTGAGATGAGTTCCCAGTGAATGCTGCATGGGTATTTATAGTGCTGGAGACCACGCAGTGGTTCTTTACTTTCATAGCTTGCACACGTTAATGGTAGTAGTGTTTCAATAGGAGACCAAGTGGAAGCTTTTAAAATCCACTGGAATTAATGGAACTCCTTGACTTGAACATTAAGTATATGCAAGTTGCAAAGTAGTACTTGTTACGCTCTCTTTAGATGACTAGGCAGACCAGCTACGTCTCATCTCCATCCATAGATTCTGGATGGCGCAAATTAAGTTTTAGCATTCATCATCGGTGTTTGGAAGGCCCATTGAAACTAAACTAGCTCTTTGCCGATTTTCGGACTTGCACTGGTACTAAACCCAGCTTTCAGCTATATATATACGAGACAAAACTGTCCAGGCACTAAAACCTTTCACACATTAGTACTTTTATTACTAATTATGTTTTATATAAGGTAGCGAGACGACAGTTAAAAAAGGGGGAGGAGGGAGTACACTCCATTTGACCCTGCCTCAGAACAAAAGGAAGAGTGATTTTTTTTTTACTTTCGCAAGGATTTATTTTACCTTTTCTTGGCTTTTGCTTGGGATGAATAGTTACGGTCCAAAAACTTGTAAAAAACATGCGTACTACAGTAAACTCAAATATGCATGATCCTCATGACTATGTATTTGACCATTCTCTCAGCGCTGTGATGCATGCACAGCTGGTGACACGACAATCAAAAGATACCGAGATCACCCATAGTAATGTAACCCAGGGTTTACATATCTTTTGGGACTAACAGTACTTTGTACTTTGTACTTAAACTCTTAAAGAGTATCACATTATAGTATCACATTAACAGTACTTTGTACTTAACTCTTAAAGAGTACGCTTGAAGATTCTAATTCGTTGGTAGAATGCAATATATGTGATACAAAATTGATATGAACCGGGCATCCGCCCCAACTTCCGTCCGGACATGGCCCCGTGATCCCCACTCCTTATCCCATTGGCATCGTTATCCCATCCCGTGACCCACCCCGCTCCCCCGCGCCCACTCGTTGCTTCTCCGGCATCCTGTGACATAGTCCGCTCCCCCCGCGCGCCACTCGTTGTCACTCCGCCGCGCCGCTCTCTGCGCCAGCTTGCGCTCCCGGGACGGACGCCGTGCCAAGCTCCCTGCCATCCCTCCGCCTGTGCTTCCTCCCTCCATCCCTCGCTCGCTCGCTCCCTCCCCCCACCGGAGACGAGGACGACAGCGGCGGCTCCGACGAGGTAGATCAGTCCTTCTCTAGATCTGAGCCCCTTTCCTCCTCCTCCTCCTCCTCTAGATCTGAGACCTCCTCCTGCTCCTCCTCCTCCTCTGGATTTGAGGGGCACGGCGATAGCTAGGGTTCCGGTGAGCTCTGTTGCACTAGCCTTGTGTTTGCTGTTGCAATAAGTAATATTTCTTTATTGCATTAGTCTCTTTTTTTGTTTCTGATGTTGCATCTCGCATAGCCTTCTTCTAATGTTGCAACAAGTAATTTCATTTTGTTGCATTAGTCTCTTTTTCTGATGTTGCTTCTCGCATTGCGCTTTGTTCTGTTGTTGCATTAGCCTTGTTCTGATATTGCAACAAGTAATATTTCTTTGTTGCATCTATTTTTTTTTCTGATGTTGCTTCTTAGCCTTGTTGTGATGTTGCAACAAGTAATATTTCTTTGTTACATTAGTCCCTTTTTTCTGATCTTGCATCTCGCATTGCAGTAGCTTTGTTCTGTTGTTGCAGTAACCTTGTTCTGATGTTACAAGAGACTTTTTTTGATGTTGCAAACAAGTAATACTTCTGATGTTGCATCTCACATTGCTCCGTGTTGTAACAGATCTTCCGATGGAAAATTTCTCATTGGACATTCGGGTGATGAAGCAAGGTGGGGATGGGGGTGTAGAGGGCAACGGGCGCGCAGGGGGTGGCGGGACGGCGGGGGATGGCGACACGACGAGGCACGGTGGCGCAGTGGGGGACATGCCACACGCGGGGGCGCACTCATTCTATTGCATCGGATATGTCCACTTTATTTCTGTCGTTGCTTTATTCGATGAGATTTGGATGACTCCTATTATCTCAATTGGATGGTCCCGAGCGGCGTCCGGACGTCCGGGCGCTAGTTGCGTAGTATGTGATATCGACTACTAGCAGCATGTATATAGATTTTCTTGTTTCCTCACTAGTCAACACAGGGATAAGGAAGGAGGCCAATAATGCTGAAGGACGGGCTTAGATTTCCTGCCTTTTCTTTTTATTTTTTCTAAATATTTTAGTTAATTATTATTTATTTAAATGTGGTATGCATTTTCAAAATCAAGGGCTCAGATTCATTCAAGATCTTACCTCTTATAAGGTAATGGGTGTACCATAGCAAAGCTCTTTTCTCATATATATTTGGTTAAGGTTGAGTACATGTGACTTCTCAGAAAGCGACAATGACAGTTAAAATGGGACGGAGGGAGTACACTCCATTTGACCCTACCTGAGAACAAACAAAAGATCGAGTGATTTTTTTTTTTACTTTCACAAGGACTATTTTTGCTTTTTCTTGGCTTTTGCTTGGGATGAATCGTTACGGTCCAAAAAAACCTGCAAAAAACATTCGTACTACAATAAACTCAAATTTGCATGATCCTCATGACTATGCATTTTACCATTCTCTCCAGCACTGTGAAACATGCACAGCTGGTGACACGACAGCCGAAAGATAACGAGATCACCCATAGTAATGTAACACAGGGTTTATATATCTTTTGTATCAGGCACTAGCATTATACAAACAGTATTAGTAAACGACGACCTACATCCATGAAGTCTTAACGGACTGGATGCATGCATGTTTGAAGATCAACACAGTCATTCCCTGATCACCCAAACGATTCTGTTCTCGCAGTGTGTGGTCGACATCGCAGAGGTGACCTCGAGGTTTGGGCAACGACTTTGACAAATTCAGGCATGGGCGCTTAAGAACTACTCCTATAATGTGTGCCTGGCAATCTCGATAAGAAAGACGACTCCTAAGGTTAATTAATTAGTACAATGTAAGCCGTATTAGTAGCAAAACAATCCTTGAAGGCTTGAACTAGGACACCCTCAATGGCAATTTGCAAACAGCTAGCTAGATGAGGCTTGAAAATAATAAAAAATGAACATTGTAGTGGATGGTTTTTTGAAGATCGTACTATACTAGCTATTTGAGAGTCGCTAGCTATTTCGTCTCTCTCCTTGATAGCTAATAGAATTCGTCTTAGACTAGCTATCTCATAACCATTGGGGATACCCTAAGCGTCGACTCACGGTAGTTGGATAGGTCAGGCCGAGATTGTCTCAGATAGCCGTCTGATAATATTGTGAAGAAAATGCTTGCACAGCGATACTAGCTAATGTAACAATACCAATGTAACGAAACATAAATTCCTTGTAAGTTGGTTAATTACATCGTGATGGCACCCATTGCTTAAATACATAGTGATGACACCCAGTGACTTGAGTGCATCGGTCTTATCTCGTTGCGAGATAAAATTAAGGAGAACTTAATAAACCTAAAACATTGTGCAGATCGATGGTCCTGGCTGTGATGCAAGTTGTGTGACGCACCACAGGTTTCATGATCAATAAGGGCACTCACTACTACAGATTGATTTATCACTGTCGCCACTTTCACTGCCGTAGCGATAGAAGCGACGGTGTTATACTTCCACCGCCGGTTGGACCAATAGCTAGGCCTCCTACGAAGGAAACCGACGGTTCAAACTTATACCACCGACGGGTTAACAATAGATGCGGCAGTGGTATTGTCTCCGCCGCATGAAAAGCCGAGCCGACTGGGATAGGCGTTATGGCGTCGGCCCTACACGACCGTTTGGTGCACCGACGGTAGTAAATTCGGCGTGAGTTATTTCTCTCTTTTTCAACTACCCACAACACAGTTGCATCACCATTAACTGCTCCTCTCCGCTTCCTTCTTCAAGGTTGGCCTATTTAAGCTGGGGCTGAATGCGCTTTTTGGCAATCCACATACTCCTTCCTCCTTAGATACAGATAGATACAAAAAAAGCTCTTGAGCCAATCATCTATATTTTCTTCATCGCCATAGCGCTCCTTCCCCAACTCTTCCGGCAGCAGCAGCTATATTGGGAGAAGGCCTTCAAGATTGGGTACTAACGGCATCTAGCGCAGCGGGGGCTGCTCGATCTAGGTGCTAGTGGAAGTTTTGCGATTAAGGGGGTTCACTTAGAGAGCGGCTGTAAGGATCTTTGTAGCATTCTCTCAACCCACCCATATATTATCTCTCTCACAAGTTTCTTCTTGCTCTCTCTCTCTCTCTCTCGATCATGAGAGGTGCAGATGCTAGTGGAAGTTTCACCTCACCTTTTCTTTCACTTTCTTGAATAGCTCTCTGTTCGCATTTCCAAGCCTGCTGTTCAGTCTGAGGAATCAAAACGTGAGCACCACCATATCCTAATCGATAAGGAAGTTACTAGACAAGAAAGGTGGACAAAAAATAGTTTCCTTCTTTGAGATGCTAGTGGAAGTTTTGCGAGGTGCTGCCTCATCCTTAGCTTGCACTACCTGTCTCCAGACTCGACTATGGGATGTACTTGTACTTGATAGGTCTTTGTTAATGTACACCTAGTAATCTTCGAGAGGTCTTTGTTATTGTACAACTGTGGAATGTAACTGAAGTTATCAATGAAATTGTTGTGATGATTGTTACCGTGTCGTTTATATATAGTTTTTGCCTTAAAAACAATTAATAACCGAATGACTGTGATGCTTGTTACTCCATTTTTTAAAGTGTCATAGTATTTTCCTTGGCTACACAGACGTGAGATAAAGCACCTCACTGAGATGGTGCTGGGGTGGAAGTATTTGCCTTGGTTTATTTGCAAATTAGTTTGCTATGTTTCATACATTGATTCAGCGTTAGTGTTAGATCGCAAAGTGCAG